GAGATATCAAAAAAGTACTCCAGAGTGTTGTTCAGCATGGGGGTGAGTAGAAAATGAAGGCTAATCATGTTTTGGGTGTACTATTCCTTTAAGCTCCTAAAGAGGAAGTTCATTTCAGACGCTTGAATCCAGGATCTGATCTTCTCTCCACAGGTGAGCATCAGAAAAAAAAAAAACTGACCAGTAGGTTGAAGGTTTTAACTTTTAAGTTTGCTTATTCATCATGACAAAGTCTTCCTGTTTAGGATCCTGACGTTTGGACTCCGTCCAGCAAACGTGTCCAGAGCCGCCCAGAAGAACCAGCTCAGTCCAACTGGACCTTCCTCTGCATCATCTGGTGAAACTCATGATCACATGGAGCTAATCTGGAAACCATGATCGGTATGTTGTTTCTTTTTGTTTGTATTCAGGGTGAAGGTCAGATTTATCACCCTGTAATAAGATCTATAATAAATCCACAGCTTGATGATTGGAGGAGGTCTAACAAGGGATCTATTGTCGCTCAGGCATTAAAGCTGTTTTAGGGAAGGAGTGGGGATGGAAAGGGGAAAATAAAACAATTGTCTCCAAAAATGTTAATAACCGAAACCAGTTTCACTGCAAACGTCAAACTCCAGCAGAAACACAGACAGGAAGTGGAAACCGGAGTGACAGCCGCTCTATTTTGGGACCGGCGGGTTCTCCACACCGGTCCCGCCTGACGGACCTGGAGCCGACCGTCTGCATGTACAGAGTGGGAGTGTCCCTGCATGTAAACAAAGGCTAAGCTATGTGACAGGAACACAAAGTCACACCCAGTTATTGGGCAACGCGTCAGCTGGGAGTGGAACCGCTCGCTTCGACTTGTGAAAACATTAAAGGTTTCATTCCTGCAGCAGATTCAGACGAAAAACAAATCGACTGAAAGAAAAGAAAAAATTCATTTCAGAAATGCTTCAAATATTCTGCATTTTTCTGATCTGCTACTCTGGGTCCCTGAGCAAGACCCTTAACCCCACACTGCTCCCCGGGGCGCCGCACCATGGCAGCCCACTGCTCCCCAAGGGGAGGGGTTAAATGCAGAGAGTTCATTTCATCGCTCTGTACTTGTGAAAGTTGATTCACAATAAAAATAAAAACTAAAAAAGTTCTTTAGCTAATCCCTCCTCAGGTCTGCTCCACATAACCCCGCTACAAAGATCACAATGCAATTAGTTTTATTATTAATTTAGTGCTGAAACTTTAGCTACAATAACATCATGTTTTAAAGTATAATATTGTGTTACTATTTTCTTATAAATATTTTATATTTAACCTATTTCTTACATTTAATAAACATCTACTAAATTAAATACATTTGGTTTTTAAAATCAGATTTGACAGCAATTAAATAAAATAGGAAAACTATTTTAAATTTTTAACTATTTGAGGATAATTTACCTTTAAAGATATGAGTGAAACTGCATCTTTTTTTATAATAATGAGTATTGTTTTTAATTTTTATTACATCATCATGTATGGTTTGAAGTCTGTTATATCTGACCAACTTTAAGGGATAAAAAATAAATAAAAAAACTTTATATTTTCCCAAATCAAACAAAGTTCCAGGATGAGGGAAGTTTTCCTAAAGCAGCTCTGATGCTAAACTCTCCATAAACACAGAGACTCAGGGATCCATCAGCCTCCATGACGCTGATCCAGCAGGTGAAACACCACCTGCCTCACAGCAGACTGCTGATCTCCCTGTGGCCGGTCTCCATGGAAACTGGTCCTGGAAAGCCTGCGGTAACCCGAAGCGCTGAAGGATGCGGATCACAGATCCAGTTACTCAGGCCGCCCGCCGCGCACTCATCCCATTTCTCTGCACGCGGCTCCTGCCTTCGCCATAACAGGTCGACTGCATGTTTTCATCCCTCATCCAAACCTGCGTCCATCAGTCGACCTCAGAATGAGGACCAGAAAACAGCCGAAGGCAGCGAGGGAACATCGTGTCCTTCAAGCAAAAGAAAAATAAATCCTAACTGAAAGATCTGCAAACATCTGGGTCCAGAAGCAGAAACCGTTACTGGAGAACCACTGCTGAACATGAGGAGCAAATGATCTGATTGGATCTGGCATCACGGAGCAGTTAGATCACCTGATTTATCATTTGTAGAACCACCTTTCTACCAATTAAACCTGCAGGACTTCTGTCTGTACAGCTTTGTACCTTTACATGTTGAAATATCTGCTTGTTTCCTCTCCAAAATACCCAAAACTCAGTCAGATATGGAGTTTAAAGAATCTGGGAGCATCAAAGTTAAAGTTCCACCAATATATTGGATTTAAGTCTGTGCTTTGACTAGGCCATTCTAACACATGAGCAGGCTTTGATCTAAACCATCTATTTTATATCTGGTTAGTTATCCTGTCCCCACAGAGGACGGGTTTCCCCTTAGTATGATGCTGCCACCACCATGTATCACCCTGTGGATGGTGCGTTCAGGTAGGGGCGGATTTAGGAAATGTGGCGCCCTAGGCAAAGACAGGCAGGGGGCCCTCTGAACCCATTCTCCAGATATAGAAATGTTAATAGAATAGACATCCATTATCTGTTCTAGGTTGTGTCCCTCTCTTCTTGTCCCTTTTCTTCTTGTTTTCCTCTCTATGTTTTGTACTCAGCTGACTTTTCATGCTGTCTCTAAAGGAATGAAAGATTTTTTCCAAGCACTAAGCTCACTTAGCTGATTGCTCCTTCCTGTGTTTCCAAAAAGGCCAAAGTAAATAACCCAGTCCTTCTTTTCACTGTAGACAAGCCATGATCTGCTTATCTGTTCTCCATTTTTCATTTGGATGAAATAATAGCTGCATGAATCATGACAGCAGACAAGATAGAGGAGAGCAGGAGGCGGGGTTACCAATCTACTCGCTCTGGAGAGCAGAGTTCGCTGCTTTTAGATGTTGTCTCCAAAGTCTCCAGTAGCAGAAAAAAGTCTCTAGATTTGGCGCTAGGAGCTTTTTAGAAATCAAAGTGCTAGAGGGGTCTGAAAAGTGGCTAAATATAGCGACTAAAGCGCTAAGTTGGCAACACTGCTCTTTGCATGGTTTGTTTTCAAATGGTTTGCTGCTGTCTGTTTGGACCTTTCTGAACATGTGCAGCAAATGGACTGATCCAATATGGTGGACACTGAAGGGGGGGGCTGAGACACACTTAATATTATCAGCGTTTTGATGGCATTTTAGCAAAAAGATATTCATAAAAAAAACATAATTATTGTGCACAAATAAGGAATAGTTGTATTAACTATACATGGAAATAGAGATTTATGGGGCCCCATGAAGCTGAGGCCCCCCCCTGCATTCAGGGTCCCCAACTTGACTCCTGTGGCTTTTCTCTGCCACTTTGCAATAAACCCCAGAGCTGTTAAGGGGCCAACAAATCAGTGAGATTCTCTGCAGCTCCTCCAGAGTTACCACGGACCCCAGGCTGACTCCCTCATTAGTTTAGGACATGCATGTCTTGGTAGGTCCGCAGTTGCTCCATCCTCTCCATGTTTAGGTGATGAATGGAACAGACCTCTGAGGAGTTCAAAGGTCAGGATCATCTTCTGGAAGCTGGTTCTGCTTTAAACCTCAAATCCCCTGACCTGTGGCGTGTTTCTTTGTTATTATGATGCTAATTGATATTAAATAAGGCTTTGGGATTTATTCTCCAAATGCACACAGCATCATCTCAGAGGTTTGGACTTTACCTGAATAAATCAATGCATCTTAAGTCAATCCAGCAGTTTGAGGAGGTTCTGATGGGTTCACATCTGGACCGAGCATAACTCTCCGCTCTGGCAAAAAGCATCTTTCATCCAAGAGCTCAGCTCTGGTTGTTCCATCCCAGACAGATGGAGTTTACCAGCAGAAGCTCGCCTGCTTCAGGGGGCAGCTAGCACAGAGGCTAACAGCTGCTAGCAGCCCAGCTCTGAAGTTAGCTTCTGATTCAGCACACAGTTAAAGGGCCATTTCACCTTTTATACAACACACCTACTATCCAATAATAACTACTCTAGTGACAATTAGAAAAATTAAAAGGAATAAACTAAATTAATATTTAACAGTTTTCTATACATACTTTAAAATCTGACCCTCGATTTAAGAGATAAATGCAGCACTGAATTAATCCAACAGATAGAGCTTTCACAGATGGCCCACTGCATTTAAACACATATTTGATCAGCGTAGAATAATTAAAGTTTAACGGACTCTTTAAGGTTGGATTTGGACCAAAATCTGCAGATACGCTCTGAATCACAGGCTAACTTCAGCGTCATTTAGAGCTAACAGGCGATTAACGGCTGGAGTAAAAAGAGCTAACCGCTGCAACCTGACACCAAACACCGACCAAACGCGCCTGAAAGCCGAATCTGTCCACGACAGGCGAGCTGTAGAAATAACCACATAGATTTTAGTTCACTTTATTTTGTGGAGAAGCGACGCCTTCGTTTACTAGCCGCATTTATTAGCGAGCTAGCGGGCTGCATTATTCTGCTAAACCGGCTAATGACAGCAAAGCAGCGGTAACCGTTAAAGACAGCCGCAGACTCACCGTGAGGACATCCGCCGGCGGCTCTGGCTCTCGGTAACCTACCGGAACAACCCGAAAAAAACAAACAAATAAACAAACACGGCGGAGCGGCTGTTGACGCAGAGCCTGACGGGCTGAGGATGCGTTCAGGGACGCCTGGGGAAATAGAGCCTCAGGTGGCGGTCTGGTTCACTGCTCTCCTGTGTTCCTGGAAAAAAAGCGCAAATGCCTTGATGTTCAAAAGGGTCACCGATCTATTAATAAAAAAATAAATATTGAATATCTTGAACTTTTCCTTAACAGTTAAAACTAAAACAGGTGTACATATATTATAAAAAATAATAATCGTAAAATTTTTCTGTTGACCAAAAATACTTTAATCCTGAAGGGAAATTAAACAAATGCATTCATTTTACATTTAAATTTCTATGTTTATAGTATTCATAATTTAATAAGAATAATTTTATAATAATTATATCATATTAATGTTTATTTGCTTGCTGATCTACTTATGAGGGAGTCTTATTTTCAACAAGCAAATTTTATACCCAGCAGATTGAGACTTCATTTTAATTTGATCTGATCCAACCAGCAGAGACTAATTTAGTGTTTGGTTGCAGTTTAGCCTACATGCAGATTTTTATTAATTCATTAACTGACTGGAGAAATAAAGTAGTAATGTGCAGGAAAAAAATTCATTCTAAGTGTGTTCAGCTGTTATTTGAGGAAATAGTATAAATAAGATAGAATTAAATATTGGGTTTTAACAGGATTCAGCATAAAAGTTTTGGACTAGTGATTTGAAAACAAAATAGTCAAAATATTAGTATCAGTATTATATCAGAGAATCTGCAGTTAATATTATACATATTAATATCATGTCTCAGGAACTTTGCACAAAACATGTGGGTTTGATAATCCCCTTTTTTGTGTTATATTCTTTTTAACCAGCAGAGGGCAGTAAATCCAAACAGATGATGCATAGTCTCCTCAATCTGCTGTTTCTTCTCCTCTGCAAGCCTTCTAGATTTACATCAGAGCTGTCTTTAAAGATAACATTTTTTAAGTTTTATATTTGGGATTAAAGAATTGAACATCTGTAGGGTGAAGTTTGTGTAGGCAGAGGAGGACATCCATGAAAATAATGAGGCAGAAGTTATTTGTGGGATGAAATATAGTTTGAACTCTGAGCTTTGTTTATTTTATTAAGCAGGGATGAAGCACTGATAGATGGGGTTAAGGATGAGTTCATTATGTTTATAGATGACATTAGAATTGATCTTTAAAATTCAATAAGCGTAAAACAAAAGCAACACGTGAAGCAGAGGGAGAAACAGCTTCATTCCACACAGAAAAAGTAAAAACTCAGTCCAGGAGTGGAAATACAAATGTGCCTTGAAACAAGGTTTTTAATATAAGAAGAATATAACATTTTACATGCCTCCAAATTGTAATAACAGAAGAAAAATGTGCAAATGCCTAAAAAAAAAGATTTTTTTTTTATATATAATGATTAATGAGCATATTTCATTTTGTCATAGTTTTCATCTACACACTATTTAGCTCAGACTCTTGTATATATTTTACATAAAGTCACTCTTCATCAGGAATAAGGGCGCAGAGAACAACTATATAATCGCATCACAAACATATGAATAATACATTGGCACGAAAAATATGAATCATTCCCCTGGAAAATTTAGGTTTAATTTATGGTTTAAAGATGTTTTCTCAGTCTGGAAGTAAGTTTGATTCCTTTGATTACTGCCAATATAATAAGAGGGTGATTGCTCTGATTTTTACATGTTTTAAATGATTATTTAATACTTTAACACTGTTTTATTATTAGTATTTGTGAGATGACTGATTCATTTCCATTGGAAGAAAATGCTCTAATGAAAGTATTTCTAAATCATTATTTACTAATACTGAATAGTTTTAGGATTAAAAGTATAAAATAGACGGTCTAAATGTTTTGTTGTGATGACAGCTTCTTAGAAATAAACAAAAACAAAGTGAGTCAAACTGTTCTTCGTCTGCAGCTTTGTTTCTAAGATTTGAAAGGAAGGAATTCTTGTGTTTTGGTTTCATTTAGGGCAAAACTCAAAAGTCCGACTGCCTCTGAACCCATCCCAGGAAAACTCAATAGTGCCTGGAATAACTTTCCACTGTGTCACAGTCACCTCCCAAGAACACCTGAACGAAACCACACACTCACTCACACACACACACACACACACACACACACACACACACCCTCCTGTGGGTGGAGTCCTCTGTGGTTTAAGATGTGTGCTCAGCTGGAGAGGGAACTCAGAGGGCAATAAGATCCACTAATGTGATCCACGTCTCAGCAGCTGCTTTTAACATGACAGATCTGTGGAGCTTTGAGGTGAGTCTTTAAATACTTTGCACTGGAGAAAGGGCTAATTTTTCCAAATAAATTTTAAAGTTTATTCCTAAAAACAGCAGGTATTTGATTACTGATTTATTTTTACTTGCATTGTTGCTGTTATGATGCAGTGAAAGGACAAATACTGGACAAAAACTGTTTTAAAGTAAAATAGATTTTCCTAAATATATGAGGAATTTTCTCAAAAAAACAACTATCTCTGTTTACATCTTTTAAATAAAAGGCACAGTTAATGTTTTATACTGTTTGTCCCAAAAAGTGACAATAAGTGAGATATTAAACTTTTAAAACCTAAAGTGTTGAAGCCAAATGGAAGTTCAGGTTATCAGCTTTCCTATAAACTGATTAAAATTATTCACTTTTTCTTGAAAAAGTTGTTGCTTTAAGATTTGAGATTTGGTTGAGATTTTAAAAGTGCTTAGAACCATAAAACCAACCAAACTATAGAAAAAACACTGAGTAAAACCAGCTTATCTGTTTTTCTTTTAAATTTATTTTAATTCTTACTTGACTTTGCCATCAAACCTGAGGGTGAAACCATTTGGTTTCTCCGGAACTTTCCCTGAAGGACAGAGAGGAATGTCTGAGAGGAAGCTGCTGGTTTCGGCCCATTAGAAGCCTGTTCTGCAGCTGTCTGTTGTGGGTTAACTGGTCCATCAGGTGTGCCTCAGTGGTGGGATGCTAAACAGGAAACATCAAACAAAGACTCATCAAACCTTTTAAGTATTTCCAACTGAAAAGCTGCACTTTGCGCAATTATGTAACAGAGATTGATACGGATTTAACTTTCAGAGATAAGCTTATAAACGGCTGTTTGCTGTTAAAGATTAAACCTGAAGGTTAAAACCTTTTACTCCCTGCAGATCCGAACGAGGAGATATTTCTTAGATGGTGTCGTTCAACGCTTTGATCTTCTACTTTACTGCCACACAATCAAACTCTGAAATTATCTACAGATATTACTTATGCTTTTAAAAACACAAATTAAAACTCTAATTAAAGATATTTTTTAAATGTAGAAGTAGAAAATGTCATGATAGAAAATTTCAGCTTAAAACTTAAACCAAATCTCAATTGAGTAAAGTTTGCTTTCAGTGGCAAGTTATTAATCTTAATATACATTAAAACGAAGGTCTTAAGTTTTGGTTTATCAGACTTTCTTTATATTTTCTCCTGCATTTTTTTCCCACTAATTAAAATGTCTTTAAATCCACATGAACATGAATCCAACAGACTGTAGTAAACAGATAAATGGAGGCAGAAGATGTCTTTCAGTCATCAATGCTCACATTCAGCGACACACAGGAGCTCTTTCAAGCTGGGCACCGTTTCATTCACAACACCTGTCCCATCAACCAGGAATCACAAATACTTTCATAATCCCAGGGAGGGATTACTTTAGTTACATTACTCCATCTGTAATAGAGTAACTATAGTTTGATATAACACTATTTCATACAATATATATATTTAAAGGGGTACTATAACGAGAATAGTATCTACAGACTGTTTTCTACATGTATGCTAACCTTATATCTTTTTCCTTCTTCTTTGCCTACAGAATTGCCCAGACGAGATTAGATGATCATTTAGAACAAAAAGAAAACGATTCTGGTTTCATCCTAAAGACACGCAAAGAGCCACAAGAAGACCAAATGCCAGCTGACCTTTGACCCCTCTTCATCATGGATGTCCACCTGCAGGGCAACTCCCAGCTCCACTACAGGGTCAATGGCGGCACCAGCCAAAACGCTGGACCTGGAGTGAGTATTACTCTAAAACAATGTTTTTATACAGGGTTAAACTAATTTCACATAATAGGAAACAACATAGAGAAAAAAAAAGTCTACATGAAGAAGAAATCTGATTACACATGAAACGTAACTCTGCCCTTAATTTAGCTAATAGCTAGCCAAGAGAAGTTGGTAGCTTATCCAATTATCAACAAAACAACACGGGCAAATTAAACCTTTAACACTAGCTTATTATAATATATTATCTGTTCTTAAAAAAAAAAAAATAAAATCTAATATTTTAGCGATGTGAATTCTTTTTTTTTATTTTTATTTTTACCTTACCCTACTTTTTGGCGGGAAAAGAAGACAAGCTTTCTTTTCTTCTATAATAACCCCCACACTACAGCGATTTTTTTTTTAAAGGAAAACTCCGGTTAGCAAGGAATAATCGATGCATCGTTATTTATACCTAAGACTAATACATTTAATGATGTTATTTAATGAATTTAGTGTTAATCAATCCTTTTCGTCACGATCACTGAGTTTGGTTATCCTCCCGCAGCAGTTTATCGCAGTGAGCTTGTTGCAGATATTTTTCTTTTATGTCTAATATTGAAGCGTGGTCTGCGCTATGTTATTCCACGCCACATCACGAACTACCTGTACCGGTCCCAGTGTTGTTACGCACCTCGCTCTTCTAGCTGGTCCATCTTCACCAGTCGTTTTCCACAATGGCGGTCATACAAACAAAACAAGCCAATAAGGTACCAACCAGGAAATACGCATAGAGTAGAGCGGATGTAGATTTGACCAATCAGAGGCCTCCTGTCTGCGATCACCTACAATTTTGGAGAGGTGCAGCAGAGGGGGTATATCTGCGTTAACTGCAACACATGCAGACGACCTGGTTTCTGAGTATAAACCAGGCTTAACCCCTCCCTCCTGCCATCTTCCGTCAGTGAGGTCACGGTGCGGTAAGCCTAGCGCCATTCTCCCCGCTTTAC